AACATCAACAACAAAAGGTAGAATAATAGACCAATGAGAATTTTGTGCAGTTCTTTTCTGGTATCTGATGTCCCAAAATGTTGTACAGGAATTATTCTGTGGGGAAAACACATAGGCTGAGATCCTGCATCATCAGGTGTAGCTACAGTGATGGAGCTCTGTCAACATAGTTTCTTCTGCCAGTGTCACCTCATGAAAACCTTCTCCTTATGACCAAGAATGCAACTATTGAAGGATTTCTAAGACTCTGGTGACCTAGGTACCAGGAAATGAAAACTGTAGTGCTCTCCCTGTCATGGGACACATTGAGACAAGCAACTGAAGGTACTCCCCAGAGTCCTGCATCCTGTGACCAAGGGCATAGGTGCATTATGTGAATTGCTTCAGATTTTTGCAAATTCACATTATCAGTTAATTGCATACTTCCTTGTGCAAATCTGAATCTATTCACCCATGAACCCATGGCCACAAGTGCAATAATATGTATCCTCATGAATACTTGCAGATACACAAGTAAGAAAATCACAATTCCTTTTCTGCATAGTTTGAAGAGTTTTTTGCATATCACCCCTGCAAAAAGCCCAGATTCCTCTGAATTGCATGTGAGGAAGGGGATCAAATTCTATTGCAAAACAATGAGGAGTATTTAAATCAAGTGGACAAACCCCAAGGAAGCATTGCAGTCATCATTTCCCAGTGCCCTGATCTACAGAACCTTGGAAACTCTTTGGTTGGTGCACAGTCTGAGTTAAGAGCTTGGGTTTGGGGATCATGGTGATCATAAATGTCAGTTCCAAAAGTTATGAGGTTATAAATCCAGTTTATGAACTTGTAAATACTGAACAGGATGGCAGCTGTGGTTATTGGCAAAACCAAAATGATCAAACAGTTTTCTGTACAAAGAATAGGGTTTCCTGCAGAGAAAACAATGTTTTTTCTTTGCAGAATAATTCCTCCACAACATTTTGAGATATTAAAAAAAGGGAGAATACTACATAGGAATATTTCTTTTCTCACACAACAGCAGGAAATTATTATTATTATTATTATTATTATTATTATTATTATTATTATTATTATTATTATTATTATGTTTATTCCACCTTCCTCCCAGTACAGAGACTCAAGCTGGCTAACAAATTAAAACAGTATAAGTTAAAATGGTATAAAACATTAAAAATGTAAAGTTTAAAAACAATGAAACCATTAAAACAATTAAAACATGACATTAAAATTTAAAAATTTAAAACTCTTCAAAACAAAACAATTAAACTACCATAATTATCCATCTTTCCATGGAATTTACAACCCTGGGTTAAGGATTTACAATCCTAGTGTGTGACAATGATCTGGAAGTGAAGGTTAAGTGTTGATATGATAGCCCTGTTTAAATATTTGAAGGGATGTCATATTGAGGCTGCAGCAAGCTTGTTTTCTGCTGTTTCAGAGAATAGGATAGCAGGAAGAGACTGTTAATCTCAATCAGAGGAGACTATTACTTAGACAAGACTGAGAGGAGACAGTTTAGAATCTTAAGAGAGGGTCTGTTAAACAGCCTCCAAGAGTAAGTAACCAAAGTCACATGTTTAGATAGAATAAGATAGAGGGAAGTTCCTGTCTATCTAAGGAGGGAAAGGAGAATGGGATACATAAATTTTCCAACAGTTACCACATGCTTAATGCAGTCCTAATGAATGGGATTCCAAAGCAGTAGTTATATGTGGAGCATTATATAGCATTGTACATTGCTCAACATTGCTTACCTCTCATTCTCTTGATTGGTAAGAAGACTAGGAACAGGCAAATACCTGATGGACATACCATTCATATCAAATAACCATATTTCCAGAATACCTTTTATGTTTAAAACCATTTCCTGAAATTTTATATGACATTAACCGCATTTGAAAATTATGTTTGAAAAGTGCATTGGAGATTTAAGAGAAATAAAAAAAGATTATTTGCATTATTTGTAGAAAGAACTCTGTGTGCCTTTCATTTCCTCTGTTTAGCAAAATGATTCAGATTCATGATTCTATATCTGAAGTTCATGTTTGGTCTTTCTGTTCCCCCTTGGACACAAACAATTCCCTTTGCAAATCATGGTCACAGACATATAATTGGTTTGGCTTAGTCTTCTTTCAGGTTTAATCTAAAAAGTCTCATGGAGCATGTGTGGAGCTTATTGCATTATAGATCTAACATAAATTCTACAAAGAGCTCAAGAACAGAAGTTGTTCTCCCTCCTTTCCTCCAGAAGTGAAAAATTCCTTTTGAGCATTTGAAATAATTGGTGGCACTTTAATCAAACCAGGATTGGGCTTCCATTTATCTTGTGTAGCTGCTATATGTGTGAAAGGAAAGAAAATGTGACCTTTTAAAAATGACAGAAGTTATATATATATACCCATGTCTGCATCTGCACTGCAGAAATAATGCAGTTTGACATCGTGTTAACTACCATGGGTCAATGCTATGGAATCCTGGGATTTGTAGTCTGTTGTGTCTCCAGACCACTCTGATAGAGAAGTTTAAATAACTCACAAAACTATAATCCCAGAATGATAAAGCATTAAGGCATGGCAGTAAAAGTGGTGTCAAACTGCATTATTATACTATACTATACTATACTAGCAAACGTACCCAGCTTCCCATGGCTTGGAACAACCCTTAGATTGATACAGTGAAGCCTTCATGTAAGGCTAGCAGCTTGTCAGGGATAAGCACATTATGCCTTCCCCAATTAAGTAAAGTGGCAGGCCACTGGAGTCTCTAGGCTGCCATGGTGGACTCCTACATGTTTATGAGGAGCCTTACCATGCCTGGGAAAGCTACCCCACAGAAAGAAGTAATTCTATGTCTTTCCCTCAGACTCCTCCCCGCAGCTTCAACTTATATTGGCTAAAAAACTATATACTGGCCAAAGAATCTCTGCCACCTAGTGATTGAAGATGGGACACAACATTTGTTGTTGTGTGCCTTCAAGTTTTGTTGTTGTTGTTGTTGTTGTTTTACTTATGGCGATCTTAAGACAGACCTGTCATAGAGGATTTTTTTGACAAGATTAGTTCAGAGGAAGTTTGCCATGACCTTCCCCTGCGGCTGAGAGCATGTGACTTGTCCAAGGTCACCTGGTGGGTTCCATGACTGAGCTGGGAATTGAACAGTGGTCTCCAGAGTTGTAGTCCAACACCCAGACCACTACACCACACTGGCTCCCATAAAGACATATTAAAATTAAATTAATTAATATTAACAGATATATCTTAAGTACAGATATATCTGTACATTGTTGCATGTCCCTAAAGTCCCCTTAGCATAGTGACAGACATACACACCTTTTATTACTATAGACATATTACATATTATAGTACAGAGTTATATCTTTAGCCCTTTTGGATGGTCATAACTTAATGTAGAGGTGGAAGTATATTCAGATGAAAGAGCAGAGTTTTAAGAAAAGGAAGAGGCACCAGGGGTCATATTGCAAACCTATGGGATAAAGGAATGCACCAGTGAAATTCAAAAGGAAATAAATCTGTGCTTTATAGATTACAGCAACACCTTTGATTATGTAGATCTTGTCAAATTATGGTTCACTCAAAAAGAAATTGGAGTGCCACAATATCTGATTGTCCTGGTGGATAACCTGGACAATCTGGACAAGAGGCCACTGTCAGGACACAATGTGCAGAAACAGATTCATTTGTCATTGGCACAGGAGTCAAAAATGGCCACATTTTATCATGCTATCTGTGTAATTTATATGTAGAATATATCATATCGAAAGTAGGATTAGACCCAGAGGAAGCAAATATGAAAATTAGGGTGTGTGACATCATACTAAAGCATCTGAACATTAATTTTGGAGGACCCAAAAAAGCTTGGAGTATTTCACTGCAATGAGCCAACATGGCGTAGTGGTTTGAAACCACTGGGAGAGATTATTCTGAGTCATGGGGTGGGGTGTTATCAGTACGCTGATGACACCCAGATATATTTCTCCATGTCTCAGTCTTTAATCTTGAACTCAGATGGCGTCTCTTCTCTCAATGACTGTCTTAAGGCAGTAATGGACCAGATAATGAAAAACAGATTGAGGCTGAATCCAGATAAAATGGAGGTACTAGCAGTAGCAGCCCTGAAACTAGGTATTGGGATACAACCTCCAGTCCTGGATGGGGTCACACTCTCCGCGAAGGACTGTGTTCGCAATCTGGGGGTGCTCCTGGATCTGTCACTTCAGATGACTAACCAGGTGAACATGATGGCTAGGAGTGCCTGTTATCAGCTTTGGCTGATACACCAGCTGCATCCTTTCCTGGAAACCAGGGACCTTGAAACTGTGGTACATATGCTGGTAACCTCTCACCTTGGTTTCTTCAATGCACTCTATATGGGGCTATCCTTGTGCTTGGTCCAAAAACTTCAATTAGTAAAGAACATGGCAACCAGACTGGTCTCAGGCTCATCGAGAAGAGACCATATAGCACCAGTATTAAAGTCTCTTCATTGACTGCCTATTAGTTTCCAGGCACAGTACAAGATGTTGGTTATTACCTTTAAAGCCCTAAATGGCTTGGGTCCAACCTATCTCCAGGACCACCTCCTTCCATATAATCCACCCCGTGCACTTCGGTCCTCTGGAAGGAATCTGCTACAGCCGATAAAAACTACAGCCTCCTCAGCAACCACTCCTAGATTATGGAATGGCCTGCCAGATGAGATCCATCATATTACTACCTTAAACAGCTTTAAAAAGGTTGTTGAGACAGATCTTTTCCAGCAGGCCTTTCCTGACTAGATTTTCTGGTCCCAGAAGCTAGCCCTTCCTCTCTGCTATTACTCACTGCTGTAGCTGCTACTATTGCTGAATATTGTTGGAGATTGTTCATGTATCTGAGATTTATTTAAAATATGTTTTAGTTGTTTTTTTAACTTGTTTAATACTTTCTTAAAAGCGGGTGGGCTTTGGGATTTCTGGACTGTGATTTTATTGTACTGTAAACTTATGCTTAATTTTAATGCTGTAAGCCACCCTGGTGGTCAGGAGCCCTGGTGGCACAGTGGTTAAATGCCTGCACTGCAGCCACTCA